GGGTGTGATCAATACCAACTTGCGACTAAGGGACTCAGAACATATAATGTCATACTTTGGCCATGGGACACATTGCAAAACAATTGCAACTGCTGACTAAACATCGATATAAAACTGGGCCGACAAGGCCGTCATAACTGCTACGGCTGGCAAACCAACAAAATATACATAAAAGGACTACAAGCCCAACATACTGCACTAACTGACTGGATATGTCTACAAACCTCTACTGATGGATATACTGTGATCGGAATAGGGCCCCGATCTACTCATAACATATATACATATATACACAAGATATATATAAAGCTCTAGACCCGGAAACTCCGAAGGGCATGGAGCTTACCATCAAGCTAAACTCGGGCAACACCTAATGAGGAGGTCTACCCGTCTGTCTGTCTGAACCTACACGCATGAAATGCAGCGCCCCCAGAAAAGGGACGTCAGTACGAAATAATGTACCTAGTATGCAAGGCAATATACTGAAAGCTGAAACTGAACTGATAATATTATAACTGAAAGTAACTAGGAGTCAATGAAAATCTGAATATATGCTCACCTACTGATATTGACTCAACACTCTTAATATAGTAAGTAAAATAGTTGTCCGGCATTATAAGGCTCGGAATATATATAACTGCTCTACCATAGTAGGCTCGCTCATAGGCGCTCGGCCATACTAGGCTTTGTATCTCGGCCATGCTGGGCTCGCTCATAGGTGCTCGGCCGCAGTAGGCTTGGTATATAACTTACCATCTGATCAGAGGTTGCCTAATCGGGGCCTGCCCACCGATTATAGCTCGATGGTGGCTATATATATATATATATATATATATATATATATATATATATATATATTTAGACCCTCTGCTCTCTTGGCTGGTAGAAGACAATACTCAATTGGATATAAAGTCCCGATAAGGGAGAATACTGTAACATATGTGACTAGGATGATGTATATAAATTCGGGAGTATGAAATTCTCTTTATGCCTCGTTATCAAACTCATGTAGTTACGAGATCATGCCAAAATGAAGGAAGGGCTTAGCATTAACATACCTGAGTCGATTCTCTTGACAATCCTTCCAACACACATCAATTGCAACAATATGTAACGGCGGATCGAAATAGGGGAAAATCCATATGACATTCTTGAGAAAGATTGCACCATACTTCCTTAGAATCGCAAAATCTCACGTTACAGCTCCAACCATTGTAAATCACGTATGCAATCTCTTTGAAACGCGACGTTGTATCTTCTAATCTTAAGGGGGTTATGAAAACATTAGCTTGTATTGCTAATGTGAATATATTTATGCAGTTCACGTTCAAAAGGCTTAAGAGAATGTGAACCTTATTATGTAATCTAATAATGTGACACCTTGCTACATCTTATATGAGTCACTTAGTGGTTTGTTAACCACTTCATGGGCTGCCACGTTGGTGGTAAGATCCATCAAGCTTATCCAATTCTAATTAATTGTTAACTTATGAATCTCCCACTAACCAATAATTAAACAACTACCCACATAATTAAGAATTATCTCAGATTACTTAAAATACTACTTACTTTTAACACACCTTATACACCTTACTATCATGGTCATGTGGTACCTTGTATGGCACTAGTCCATAAATGCCGGGTATTATAGCTCGGACTGTATTTTATCCCAAATTGACAAACTTCGACGGAACTCACTTTCTTCGATTTGCTTACCCTCTCACCTTCACGAATTTACTTATCACTTGTTTGTAATAGCATAATACTTATAATCTCTAAATAATCTCATTCTCAAGCTTATGTCGAATAACTTACGATGTAACTTTAACGTACGAAAAATGCGGGATGTCCGAGCTTATATCAATTTTATTATGGCGTACTTCCACGCACGAAAACATGGGGTGTAACACCACCAGTGCCCAGGGCCTGGTTTCTGCTACATGAACGCGGAAGGGAGGATGTGAACGCGAAGAAGGGGATATGCAGGGCTACGCGATCATGAGGCATACTATGCGAACACGAAGAAGGAAAATGAGGCGGGTCGGTAGAACACTACGCGAACGCGAAAGGTACTTCGCGATATTGAAGAAGAAGATTAGACACCAGAAACCAGCAATCCAAAAAAAGAATAAATTGGCCCGTAGCCCAACTGAAACATACCCGAGACCCCCGGGACCCTGTCTAAACACACAAACAAGTTCTATAACCTAACACGGACTTGCTCGGGGTCTCAAATCACATCAAACAATGCTGAAACTACGAATCGCACCATGAATCAAACTTATGTACTTTCAAATCTTTCAACTTCTAAAATTCGTGCCGAAACCTATCAAATCATCCAAGAACGGCGCTAAACTTTGCAGACAAGTACCAAATGATATAACGGAGCTGTTCTACCTCTCAGAATTGCATTCTGAACCCGATATCACAAAAGTCAACAATTGGTCAACTTCTCCATCTTCCAAACTTCAACTTTTCCAACATTCGCCGAAATGCTTCAAATTATCCTACGGACCTCCAAATCCAAATTCGGACGCACGCCTAAGTCCAAAATCACCATATGAAGCTGTAGATATCATCCAAAATTTATTCCGGAGCTGTTTACCCAAAAGTCAAATTCCGGTCAACTCTCACCTCTTAAGCTTCCAAAACTAAATTCTTTCTTCCAATTTGACATCGAATCATCCGGTAACTGAATTCGACCGCGTACGCAAGTCAGTACACATAATACGAAGCTGCTCAAGATCTTATACCGCCGAACGGAACTTAAATTCTCAAGACGACCGATCGGGTCGTTACAAAATGAGCCAAAAAGTTATCACAAAAATTATTCTTCCCCATGTAACTTACTTTTTCAATTTACAACCAAAATTTGAAGGGGGTATTCTTAATTCACACTTCACATACTAATTTTATTAGTACCAAACAATCCAAAAGTCTCCACATAGCAACACAAGACTAATTCCCTTAAGAAAGTCGTCACGCCATCCATCATAGGGAAAAGTCACCCGGTTCAACACAAATATATTCCTTAGGAAAGAACCGTAGCATAAAGAAAATCCAAGGAAATTTATTGCAAAGTATATTACTACTAAAGAGATAAAAATAATATAAACTAAAAACTACTAAAGAAAATAAAATAAGCACTAAAGGAATAAAAAAGAAATAACTAAAGACTACGAAAGAAAATAAAAAAACAAAAGCAACTAACACTGAAGGAACAAAAGTAACACACACTAAAAACTACTAAATAAAAGAAATAAATAAAGAAAAATAAAATAGAATAACAAAATAGACTAATCCGAAAATATATCACCAATCACAAATTACGCTCGGCAAGAGCACATGATAAACAATAGTAACATAAGCCCGACAAGTGCACACAATATACACACAAAAGCATAAGCCCGGAAGGGCACAAGTCAAGCATCAATATACAAATGAAGTATACTCCCTAAGCCACCCCCAACTAAAAACACTGCAGTGTCCTCACTACACAATATTAAGATAAAAATAAAAGAAGTTTGAGGGTCTCCTAGGTCTACATCAGACTAGTAGACTGCGGGATAAAGGCTAATCACTGTCGTGAAGAACTCTCGGCCTCATCGTCATCGGTATCATCAACATCATCACCAGCAGCATTCGACATCAAGGAATACTCTTCGCTATCATCGTTGTCCTGAACTGATATCTTCCTGTTCGACTGCCCCCATTTGAAGATGGCCTTGATGCCTCTCCACATATTTATCATAAACTTGCCCTTCTTCTTATTTCTCTCTTTCTCCTTTTTGAAGTCCGCCTGCAGATCTGCATGTGCCTTAGCCATGTTTCCATAAGCGGTCTCAAGCCTGCCAACAGAAGCCGCCAACTTCTCGTGATATTCTGCCTGCTTTTTCTGGACCTCCATGTAGGTCTTCATTTCTTCCCTTGTATAATATTCGGGCATAGGCTGGGAGTGTGAAGACCCACTAGGGAGTTGTGGCACTAGGTCACTAATGGAGGAAAGCTGGGAATTTATCATCCAAGATGGTCCCTCGGCCTAAGTAGCTTGTGAGGAGGACCCCTCACCTACAGTAATCTCCACTTTCCTCTTCTTGCTCTTTAGCACACTGCCTGCTCCTATCACTCTCAATGGGTGAAAAGGCTTGTCTGCCGGTATCAAATGATCTCCATCCCATTTCTCAACCTGTGCACGCCGGCACAACTCTATAATTAATGGTGGAAATATCAATGTCGAGCCACCTTGAAACATATACTCCTTCAGCTCTCGAACGATGTAGTGACCGACATTTATAGGAATGCCATCAAGGATGCAAGCAATTATCAGAGCTCTGATATATGTGACATCAGACACGTTCCCACAAGGAGACACTCTGCTTGCAATGATATACAACCACATTTGCTTCGGTTGTAAAATCACAACATTTGATGCCTTTTTCCTTTTTCGCCCAAGTCAGTCTTTGACCTGTAGGACAAAGCTTTGAAACTAGCCAATCACCACTGTCACATGTATCATTTTCTTGCATTGGCTCGAGCGAATGATTTGGGAGCCCAAAGACATCATTTATCTCTTCAGCTCCGAATTTCACAATCTTCCCCCTTATTGTAATTTCATGGTTTTGGAAATGTGTATGCCTTAAGTTGGCGTAAAATTCCCTAACCCATTCCTCATTGTCGTTGCATAGAGTGGGTATGAAGCAAGTCCAGCCGCTTGAAACTAGCCGGCCATGGAAATCCGAAAGAAGCTCGGCCATTGTGTCATCGACAATTCCTTTCTCAAGTTGAGCTTCGTTGTGAGGAGATTATCATAATACCGGATTTGACTATCTGCCGACAAGAATCGGTTGGTATCATAGTTCAAATCCTCAGTTACTTCTTCAATCACATGATCAAGTGTCGCGTTTTCGTTCATGTTCGGGTCCATTTTTGAAGTTAAAAGTACCTAAACACTCAAAACCAAGTCAGTTGAGAATTATAGTCATGTTAAGCAATTCAAAATAATGCAATTACACCAAAGAACCAAACGGTCCCAGCAAGCCAATATTGCAAAGCCACTGGTTTTTGCAAAATCTGCCAGTTACCGCACCCGCGGAAAAATCAACGCAGGTGCGGTTCCGCTTTTGTGGAATTTCATTCGCTTCTGCAAAATCTCCCTAGCTGACCAAAAATCTCACCTGTGGAATTTACATCACAGGTGCGATGCCGCATCTACGGCCCATTTTGCGCATCTGCGGTGTTCATCAAAGGGTTCAAAAGCCCAGATATTTTCGACTCTTTTCACTTCTTAAACATGATTTTAGCACATAATTTATACTCAAGAATTCAAAATTAGTGCACTACATGAACATACGACTCTCTTAAACCCAATTTTAAATTACTTAGCAAAAAACATTCTTTTGGACAATTTGTCGAGCACATGACAAGCAATGAGAAGTTATGCTTCTTTAACCAAATTGGGTACTCAGCTTTTCCCCCAAAATTGTTTTTAATCATAAACAACACACAAATGCACGCTCTCAACCAATTTCCTCACCCTAATATCAACCCTAATCAAGAATGGGAAAACGGGACTGTGGGGAATGACTATGAAGAAGACGAAGAAGAAAATTGAAAAGAGAGCAGCTGAGAGAGAGGGGTGTTGATGATTACTTGATTCTCTTGTGTGAGAGAAGTAGAAATCAAGAGAAATGGTGAATTTGAGTAGCAGTTATGTGAGAGATGGAGGAGTTTGAGTTTCGGGGAGAAAGAGTTAGAGTATTACCTGATGAAATGAGGGTTTGGTTCATTAAACCTGGCCGATTTATGCACCTACGGTAAAAGAAACGCTTCCGCGGAGTTGGTTCTGCGATAATTTCATCGCATGTGCGGAGCATGCACATCTGCGCCCATTTACTTCGCTTCTGCGAAAGCGCACCTACATGCATTTGTCCGCAGGTGCGGTTGCACCAGAGTTCAACTGGACAGATCTGGGCAGTTACTTTTTTGGCTTGTTCCAACACCTCAAACCCCTTAATTCAACTTCAAAAAATCTGAAACATTGCAGATTAGTCAAAAATAACATAATAAGATATTCTAAAAATAAAAATTTCAAAAACGACTAAAAATTTCAAAAACTATGGGTTGCCTCCCACCAAGCGCCACATTTAACATCGTGGCACGACGCGAATCATTTCACCACTTTTCTCGCCACTTGGACGATATGAATTGGGAACCTAACTTGGAATCAAGCTGGTAACCACAAGCGACGGGGGGTGGTAAGTAGATGATCAAGCCAAGTTTTAGTTTCTTCATTTTGCATTTCCTGACTTTCATGTGAGGAATGTCATCTTGCTTTCTTGTGACTTCAAATTGTAAAATTTATGGCATTTGCCTTTCCTCCTCGCAATCCCTCATTGAATCGTGTAGTTCAATTCCCATATCACCACACAATTCTAATGTTGAGAAATGCTTGGAATGTGACATCAAGCCTCAAAATTTCAATTCTTTCCGGATTTTGACATCCTTTTGGTCCCCCAAACTAGAGTCAACTTCAACCATATTTTCAGTTACACCGGCTGACTCTAATCCATAAGTTTCTTGGCATGACTAACAAACATGGAGACGGTTGGCGGATGTTCAATTCAATAACGACCCGGCCGATCGTTTTATGAATTAACGCCTTGATCCCCTATTAACTGCATCCTCGTGTTTGTTTCTGCTATTGTGAGTTGCCGGGAGGATTTATTTGGAGTTTCGAAGAGTTTTGAGACACTTAGTCCCTAAATGAGAGTCTAAGTTTGAGAATTTGGACCGTAGTCGGAAATATGTGAAGACGGCCTCGAAATAGAATTTCGTTGGTTCCGTTAGCTCCATCGGGTGATTTCGGGTTTAGGAGCGTGTTCAGATTGTGTTTTGGAGGTTTGTAGCTTATTTAGTCTTGAAATGCTTAAATTTGAATTTTTGAAGTTTCCGATTCGATAGTGAGATTTATCTAAGGGTCGGAATGGAATTCCGGAAGTTGGAGTAGCTCTGTAGTGTTGAATGTGATGTGTGTGCAAAACTTCAGGTCATTCGGACGAGGTTTGATAGACTTTTTGATCGAAAGCATAATTTGTGAGTTTTTGAAGTTCTTAGGCTTGAATCCGATGCTAATTGGTTGATTCGATGTTGTTTGAGGTGTTTTGAAGATTTGTATAAGTTTGGATAGTGGTACCGCAGGGGGGTCTCAGATGCGGTGCTTTGGTCTTTTGGTTGAGGTCCCGGGGGCCTCGTGATGATTTCGGATGGTTGACAGAAGATTTTGAGTTGGGTTTGGCAGCTGAAGTTTTTCCATTTGCTGTCATAACCGCACCTGCGGCTAGGGGAGCGCAGGTGCGGACTCGCAGAAGCGGAGATCGAGTCGCAGATGCGGCCAAGACAGAGGTCAGCTGGAACCGCAGAAGCGGCTACTAGAGCGCACCTATGCTATCGCAGGTGCGGGCGTTTTGTCGTAGATGCGGAAATGGGATTTTAAGTGAAAATCGCAGATGCGGTGCTTTGGTCGCAGATGCGGTACCGCAGGTGCGGTGTAGGGACCGCAGTGCGAAAAGCCTGGGTCAGAAAGTATAAAAGACTTCCTTCGTGATTTTGGTCATTTTTCTCAATATTTTAATTCGGGGTGGAGCTTTTGGGAGCAATTTCAAGGGAGATTTTCAAAGGAATTTATTGAGGTAAGGTCCTTGGTTCCTAAACTTATTATTATGGTGATTTTTATCGTTGTTAGCATGAAATTAAGGGAGAAATCAGGGTTAAATTGGGGGTTAGGGCTTGGTTAATTGGAGAGTTTTGAGTGGTGATTTGCGGGACCATTTGAGGTCCGATTTTGGTACTCTTGGTATTGCTGAACTCATGAGAGTGTGAGGATCCCGAATTTGTAAGTTTTACCCGATTCCGAGATGTGGGCCCGGGGGGCGTTTTGGTTATTTTTCCTAATTTCGCGTATTAGCTTAGAATTAATTAGTTGAATTAGTTACTTGAAGTGTTATTTACATTATGCAATTACTTTGAATAGATCTGGGCCATTTGGAGCCAGATAATCGTGGCAAGAGCGTGGTTTCGGGTTAATTTTGAGCCGGTTCGAGGTAAGTGACTTGTCTAACCTTGTGTGGGGCAACTCCCCTTTGGATTTGGTATTGTTGATATTTGAAATGCCTTGTACGTGAGGTGACAAGTGGGTACTCTTGCTAATTGTTGAAAATCCATTTTCATTAAGTAACTATAACTGTGTTTTCTTTCCTGTTTATACTACTTGCAATTTAAGCCTACTGTTAGCTTAGGAAAGCATGTCTAATTGACTTAATTGCTTTACTTGCTCGAACTGCTTTATTTGAATTCTGTGCAGCATGCTAGGTTAGAAATACCTGTTTTACCTTGGTATGAAATTTGGATTGAACTGAATATTCTTTGTGTTGCTGCTGTGTGTTTACTTTGGGACTACGGGACAGTATCCTGGTAGATCCCCCTGCATGATTACTTTGGGACTACGGATTGCATTCCGGTAGATCCCCCTGCACATTTATCTTGGAACTACAGGACTGCACCCGGTAGATTCCCACAATACTAGGTATTTATATTTAGGGACTACGGATCGGGATTCCGGTAGATCCCCGGTGCACTATGAGTTGGACTACGGGACGACACCCGGGAGATCCACTAGACATTTACATTTGGGGGCTACAGGACGGTATTCCGGTAGATCCCCGATTGCTATCTCTGTGTTGAGCTGTATTCTGTCTGTGATGTTTTTCTCTGTTATATTTGTTGTTATTCTTATTATCCTGTGTTACTTCATACTGTTAGCATTTAATTATATTGTCATTTTCTATACTATTTTACCTCGTTTTTCAGCTATAATCAGTAGGGCCCTGACCTTCCTCGTCACTACTCGACCGAGGTTAGGCTTGGAACTTACTGAGTACCACTGTGGTGTACTCATGCCCTTTATGCACATGTTTTTCATGTGAATATCCAGGTACTTCGACTCAGCCATACTACCCTTGAGGCGGGGGATCCATCAGAGACTTCGAGGTATGTCTGCCGCGTCCGCAGACCGAGGAGTCCCTTTCTATTCTCTCTCATAGTACTAGCCCTTCTGTATTTACTTTTGTTTAGACACTCTGGAGTTAGAACACTGTAGTGATTCCACAGCTTGTGATTTCATGAAATTCCGGGTTTTGGGAAATATAGTTTCAGTTTGAGAGTTTATATTGTATTTGCCGAGCGGCATCTTAAATGTTTCATTATGTTATTCCGCAGTTTTTTGCTAGTTTTATTCTGTTGTTTCTTTTTCCATAATTTGTTAGGCTTACCTAGTCGTAGAGACTAGGTGCCGTCACGATAGTTCACAGAGGGTGAACTGGGGTCGTGACAAATTCTTGATTCCTCAAAATAAAGCTCACTTTCTTCCTCGAAGTTGGACTCTTCTTGATCTCTTTCCACACTCTCAAGGTTGTGGGCATAGTGAGCCTCAACAAATATTTTCATTTGATTTTTCAAGGTGCGGATATTATCATCATTTTGAATCAAATCTTGTTTAACGTCCTTGAGTGCAAATGTTGCATCTCGTACTTTAGTATTATGATAAGTCGTAGTAATCCATAAGAGGTTGAAGGGATTAAGACCATTCATGAGATTTTAGAGGATGTATGACTATGTTATTATAAAACCCCGAAGGTTTAACATCCTTGATACCGGTAGATATTATGTTAGTGTGGTATATTCTTTTAAGTGAAGTATTTTAGTAAAAGTTTTATAAGTATAATTTTGGATAGTTACCATTATTACTCTTTTCGGATATGGTAAATTATACTCATAATATAAGAAAGTTTGTGAGATTTTCTTTATTGTAAAGATAGAAATTATTTTCGCACAAGAAAAGAAGGTTATCTTTTTACCATTTTAAGAATTAAGTGTACGAAAATTTTTACTCTTTACATGAGATTAGGAAAATTATAAGTTGAGAAAATGTATGTATTTTTACATGGATGTTTTAATGAAATAATAGTATATGTATTGGATTTATATGGTACCACATGACCATAATAGTAAGGTTTATAAAGTATATTAAAATTTCAGTTCCCCAACCCAACCCTTTTTGAGGCCAAAAGTTTCAGTTCTGAAACCCTAGTAGCGACGCCAGCGACCTCTGTCTGGCGACCCCCCCTTGTTTTACCTCCATTTTCGAATTTGTTCAGGTCCACCCCTGGGACAGCCCCCCTCCCCCTTTTTTGTTTTGTGGTGTTTGTGTGTAATTTTTCAGGGAACTAGTTGCGGCTGCTGAGGCAAGCACGGGGCGTATGGGTGAGTAGAGCGGAGCAGCTCCGGCTAGTGTGTGCAAAGGTTGGCGGGAGTTGGAAGGACGCACGACAATTTCTGTGTCCTTGGGTCCCTCAAGTCATATTTCCAGGTTCTTTTCATCGGGAGTTGGTACCTCCCACTTTCTTGTCTCTTCTTTATATTAGTTAAATTGTGGCTATTTATTTAGCAACACTTTGAGCATATTATTAGAATACTTGTATTTGCTACCGGTTATTCTCTAGTTTGGGTCTGTGTTAGTGTTTTTCGGAGTTTGCCGTAGGTATTGTGGCTGTAGTCTGGGATGGTAGACCATAGGCACGCTGACGAGTAAGTCTATTGAGTTGGCAAAGATTCTCCAGAAGAGAAAGGTTAATATAGCGTGTGTCCAGGAAACTAGGTGGGCAGGGTCGAAGGCGAGGAATGCGGACGGGTATAAGTTGTGGTACTCTGGAGTCGTGAGGGGTAAGAATGGAGTGGGTATCTTGGTGGATAGGGACCTTAGAGAGTCTGTGGTTGAGGTTAGGCGAGTGAATGATAGGCTAATGTTTATTAAGTTGGTAGTTGGTGAATGCACCCTCACTGTAATTAGCGCTTACGCGCCGCAAGCGGGCTTGGATGAGGAGGTTAAGAGGCGCTTTTGGGAGGGTTTGGATGAGATTGTGCGTAGTATTCCTCCTACTGAAAGGTTATTTATTGGAGAGGATTTTAATGGCCATATTGGGTCGGCTGCTGGTAGTTATGGTGAGGTGCATGGTGGTTTTGGCCTTGGGGTTAGGAACGGAGGAGGTACTTCGCTGTTAGACTTCGCTAAAGCTTTCGAGCTGGTGATTGCGAACTCGACTTTTCCGAAGAGGGAGGAGCATCTAGTTACTTTCCAGAGTTCGGCAGTGAAGACTCAGATTGATTATCTTCTCCTCAGAAGGTGTGATAGAGGGTTGTGCAAGGATTGCAAGGTTATCCCGGGAGAGACCCTCGCGACTCAGCATAGGCTCTTAGTAATGGACAATGGCATTAGGATGGAGAGGAAGAAAGGCATGTTCGTGGACGACCGAGGATTAGATGGGGAGCTTTAACCAAGGATAAAGCCCACGAGTTGGAGGGAAGGTTATCCGCCATAGGAGCTTGGAAGAGTAGTGGAGACGCGAGCACTATGTGGTCAACGATGGCGAACTGTGTCGGGAAGGAGGCGAGAGAGGTGCTAGGTATATCAAAGGGTTTTTCTGGCAGGCACCAAGGCGACTGGTGGTGGAATGATGTAGTCAAAGGTAAAGTGGAGGCGAAGAAGGTAGCGCACGCGAAGTTGGCAGGGAGCACAAGTGAGGAGGAGAGTAGAGCGAATAGGGAGAGGTACAAAGAGGCTAGGAAGGAGGCAAAGCTGGCAGTCACGGAGGCTAAGAATGCAGCGTTTAGTCGTCTATACGAGGAATTGGGGGAGAAAGGCGGGGACAGGAAGCTGTTTCGGCTAGCTAAAGTGCGGGAGAAGAAGGCCCGGGATCTGGACCAAGTAAGGTGCATCAAAGACGAGGATGGTAGAGTATTGATGGGGAAGTCCCAGATTAAGCTGAGATGGCAGACATACTTTTATGGTCTTCTAAATGAGGAGGGAGACCGGGATATAACGCTAGGGGACTTGGGGCATTCGGAGAGTCTTCGAGATTTTAGGTATTGCAGGCGCATTAAGGTGGAGGAGGTCGTGGGGGCTTTGCGTAAGATGAGTAGGGGTAGAGCGATCGGGCCAGATGAAATACCGGCTGAGTTTTGGAAGTGTGTGGGTCGAGCAGGATTGGAGTGGCTGACCGGGTTGTTTAATGTAATTTTTAGGACGAAGAGGATGCCGGATGAGTGGAGGTCGAGTACAGTGGTACCGTTGTACAAGAACAAAGGTCATATCCAGTGTTGTAACAATTATAGGGGTATCAAGTTACTTAGCCATACCATGAAAGTCTGGGAGAAGGTGGTGGAGGTGAGGGTGAGGAAGACGACGTCTATTTCCGACAATCAGTTTGGGTTCATGCCAGGTCGCTCCACTACGGAAGATATCCACCTTATAAGGAGGTTGGTGGAACAGTACAGGGACAAAAAGAAGGATCTTCACATGGTGTTTATTGACTTGGAGAAAGCGTACGACAAGGTTCCTAGGGAGGTGCTCTGGAGATGTCTTGAGGCTAAGGGCATGCCGGTAGCCTACATAAGAGCGATCAAGGACATGTATGAAGGAGCTAAGACTAAGGTTAGGACTGTGGGAGGCGACTCAGACCATTTCCCGGTTGTTATGGGATTACACCAAGGCTCTGCGCTTAGCCCGTTCTTATTTGCCTTGGTGATGGATGCATTGACACACCATATTCAAGGGGATGTGCCATGGTGTATGCTATATGCTGATGACATAGTTCTAATTGATGAGACGAGGGCCGGTGTTAACGCGAGATTGGAGGTTTGGAGACAGACCCTCGAGTCTAAGGGTTTCAAATTGAGCAGGTCTAAGACAGAGTACCTGGAGTGCAAGTTTAGCGTTGAGCCGAGGGAAGTAGGCAGGGACGTGAGGCTTGGATCACAGGTCATCCCGAAGAGAGATAGCTTCAAGTACCTTGGGTCGATGATTCAGGGGGACGGAGAGATCAACGAGGACGTCACTCACCGTATAGGGGCGGGCTGGATGAAATGGAGGCTTGCATCTAGGGTTTTGTGTGACAAGAAAGTGCCACTGACACTCAAAGGTAAGTTGTATGGAGCTGTGGTTAGACCGGCCATGTTGTATGGGGCAGAGTGTTTGCCGGTTAAGAACTCACATATCCAGAGGATGAAGGTAGCGGAGATGAGGATGCTGAGGTGGATGTGCGGGCACACTAGGATAGACAAGATTAGGAATGAAGATATTCGGAAGAAGGTGGGTGTGGCCCATGTGGATGACAAGATGCGGGAAGCAAGGCTCAGATGGTTCGGACACGTACAGAGGAGAAGCCTTGATGCGCCGGTAAGGAGGTGTGAGCGGTTGGTCGTGGTGGGTACGAGAAGAGGTAGAGGGAGGCCTGAGAAGTATTGGGGAGAGATGATCAGGCAGGACATGGTACGAATGCGGATTTCCGAGGACATGGCCCTTGATAGGAAAGTCTGGAGGTCAAGCATTAGGGTTGTAGGTTAGGGAGTAGTAGAACTTTTCTTACTTCTTTCCGGGGGTGAGGCGGGGTTGGATTAGGGAAGGCCTTAGATGGCTTGCAGTTTACGTTGAATACACACTATACTTGCTGTTTATCTGAGCCCCGGGCCTGGATAGTGTTATTGCATGTCATCCATCTTTTGATTGTTATGCTTCTGTTACTATTACGATTTCTACTGGAGTTACTAATGAATTGTCTTTCCTTGTTTTTCCTATTTCCATCTTTCTGAGCCGAGGGTCTATCGGAAACAGCCTCTCTGCCCTATCCGGGTAGGGGTAAGGTTTGCGTACACATTACCCTCCCCAGACCCCACTTGGTGGGATTTTACTGGTTAGTTGATGTTGTTGTTGTTGTTGTTGATGTATCTCCAGAAGTTGTGACACTAAAATGGGCACATTCTTCAAACAGTGACTAAAGCTAACCATAGGGGTCGATAGTAATTAATATATGACACTAGGATAAAAGTTATGGTTGCAAGAATCCTTGCTACATCATTCATAGATGTCACGACGCCATGAATGTAGGTGCTACGAATAATAATTGCTTAGTAGACACAATTTTTGGTGCTATCACTGCTTAAATATAGGTGCTATAATCGGTCAGTGGCTTTAAACATTTGAATGTGCTATGATTGCTCGGTAGCCATCTAGATTTTAGTGCACAAATTTCCTTACTAGGTTTCCTTACTAGACTAATTGATGATCTTCAATATCAAACCATCAATGTGGCAGCCATGTAGGATTAACTAGATGACTAATAAATCTAGTTAAATAGGTGGCAAGAATAAATGAGTCTTGGAGAAGATAGTAGGACTACTTTAATACTTAAAAACGTCCCAAACAAGAAATAGATATGGTGTCCATGCTTGCTAGCTCTTTTATTTTGGCAGATGTCTAGTGAATATGATTTTCATGGACTTTCAAATTGGCAGGTACCACCACCTTGCTGCCAGCATCAACTTTCTTTCATTAACCTATTAGAAGTTTTCTTATGATGAAGGTAAAAGCTATAATTGCTGAAGGTTCACTTTCAAAAATTGTGTGAAAAAGGGTTACCTGAAAGAGACTAACGGTAGAAACCTATTGTACGAAAGAATGGTTGCCCTGTTGCAAACTTGCAATCCGCATTTATGTTACTCTTTGAATAGCTATATATGCATTGATGCAGGTTCTTCAATTAGAAAGCCAATCAGTTTGTGGCCAAGTATGTTAAGGCTATTCCTTCTTTCTTTTTGCATGATCCAAGTAACGATACGTAAACGTAATGGTATTCTATAAGTGGTTCTACTCTTTACAGTTAAGGATGTCTATGGTATTCATTCCCGTAAAGTGATATTCAAGCATGTCTAAGTACGTATCTAGTTCTCTACTGAGGTATTTGATAAAGATGTTAATGTTCATAATACAGTAATACATGCATCTTCATGCATATGCATTTACCACCGACCTACAGCCGGTTGGGCAGTAACATATTTACCACCGTGCTACGGCCGGTTGGGCAGACATGCATTTAACGCCGGGCTATGACCGGTCGGGCAGTTACTATCGGTTGGGCGTTATGTATCATTATTTACCACCAGTTGGGCAGTCATACATTTACCACCGTGCGACGGCCGGTCGGGCAGTTACCACTGATCAGTCAAGCAGTCATGCATCATACGATATGGATAAAATATATATATATATATATATATATATATATATATATATATATATAAAGTATAATAAGTATGCATATGCAGTGGCACTTCAGAGATTCAGGTTGATTCTTATATGTCTTTAATTAATGTCGACTTATTATTATGTTTCAGTTCTGCCTTACATACTCAGTACATTATTCGTACTGACGTCCTTTTGTTGGAGACGCTGCATTCATGCCTGCAGGTATAGATAATCAGTTTGACGGCCCCTTATAGTAGACGAGATTGGCATTCAGCGAAGGATCGGTAAGACTCCACCTCATTCGGAGTGCAGCCGAGTCTATGAGTCATTGTGTCAGAGTTTTGCTACAGACTTATGGGTAGGTCGGTACCCTGTCCCATTAGATGTCAAACAATCTTAGAGGCTTTGTAAATAGAGGTTCATTTGTACAGTATATCAGAGGCCTTGACGGCCCTTATGTATTCATGTTTGAAGAACGATGGTTCATTGATATTGTGTTGGCCCACTTACATTTGTACATTATTAGTTGTGGCCATGTTAGCCCATGATAGTACAAAAGGAAAGAGTTCAGCCAACTTGACCTATATATATTCTAGTTTTGGTCGAATGATCATGAGTTACATAGTGGTTCGCTCGGGCCAGCTCGGCACCGGGTTCCAGCCACGCCTCCCCAGGTTTTGGGCATGACAGCAAAGTTGTGCTTCTCCTCATTTTCAAGAATGGCCTCCATCATCAGCATCGTCCTCTCATTTTGAGCATTTGAGAGTTCTTTTTGGTTTTGATCAAGTGCCAAAGAAGGATTTTCTGCTTCAACCTCTAAGGAAGGTTCTTGGCTATCATTCACATCTGAGGCTTTTTGGACCTCTAAAGCTTCAAGGATTTGTCCCATTTGTAAGTTCAACCTTTCAAGTTCCAAATCATTTTGGAGACTAATTTTCAAAAGTTCCTCCAAGGCCTTTTGCTCTTTGTTTCCTCCTTCTAGGAGGCATTCAATCATGAGCTTGAACTCTCCATTTTGACCATGCTCAATTTCTTCCACTTCCATATCCCTATAATTTTCATCAAAAAAATAGAATCATCATAACGGGGGTTCGGGGAAGGAAAGGACCAATAATCCCAATAACCATTTTTGACAATCACACTTATTACAACTACTCCACTTACGGGTTTGAGATTGTGTGCACAATCCAACCCCGGCAGAATTTAAACAATTTTTCCACGAGTGTGGTCCTCCACAATAAGGACAAGGGTCAT